CTCGCCGGAGCGCTCGGCGGTAACACGGAAAAAAAAATCACTAAAAAACCCTCACTGTGCAGCTCAAATAGTGCGTTTTCCCCCCTTTTTTTCCCTCCTCGACTTGCCAGGATTTGCCCCCAGGCCGCTGTGGCTCCTGCTGGAGCTGGAGGGGGCGAAAGAGCCGCTCGCGTTTGCCCCAAATCCCAAAAGCGAAGCGTGTGCCCCCTGAGAAATCCCGCCCCATCGCTAGGCCTTGAAAAGTGCTTTTAAAATTCACGTTCTTTTYAATGCTTTTGCCTTTCCCTGCTTTTCTGCTAAAAACAAAAGAGAAATAGAAGCGTGGTGTTGAGACAATGAGCGGAGCGCGGCGGGCGCCGAGGCGCTCGCTCCGCGCGGACGGGACGGGATGCGATGGGACGGGACGGGACGAGCGGCTCGGGAAGGGACCGTGCGTCCCCGGCGAGTTGGCCGCTCCGCAGCCCTCGTGCACGTGTCTCCAGATGCCCCTTTGAACGCGTGGAATCCGCAGAAAARCGCCCGGGTTTGTGTCCCTGGGCATCGCTGGGCTGGTTTGGACCTGGTGAAACGCAGGGAAGGGGGACTTCTCTTGTAATCCACAGCTAAATGCTTTGATTCCTTTAAAAAGGGGGGAAATGCAGGATTTAAATGTGTGCGTTATCCCGGCGGAAGGGATTGCAGTGTTTTAAACAGCATGGAGCTTGTGAACAGGCCCGTTGGCTGGAGCTGGACAAAGGACGGGAATGCGTGTCCGATAATGCCGGGCACGAGATGGGGATTTCGGAGAATCCCTCCATTGTGCGGGGAGTGGAGCAGCCCCAGGATTACGGCCTTGCTGGCCTCGGGAACTATCCCCTGGCGGGGTTTTTAGGTGCTATTTGCTGGCTTTTGGGCCGGCTGCGAAGGGACRAAGCTGTGCGATAGTTCGGGACACTGTTATCCGAGGGCGACGTTGCTGGGTGTGTGGGACTGTTTTATTCGTGGATGTTTCATTCATGAGTGCAGCACGTTTCCCTTGGATCCTGGTAGGGGTGGGTTTGGGAGAAGAGCAGAAGGCAGGAGCCTGGCCATTCAACAAAATGCCTAATTTCTTTTTGTCCTTGGCAGGAGCTTTCTGCCGTCGTGTCAGTTGCTATGACTTCCCCTATAAAACAGAAATCTTGGGGTATAAATAGATCTCGTTCYGTTTGCCCCTCCTGAGAGGGAGCCTCTTTGAAAAGTTGCCCTACAGACTCGGGCCGAGCATTTCTCCCGATGTCTGTCAAGCCTTCACGTGGCTTTGTGCCTGTGCCTCTCACACAAGCCATTTTGCACCCCTGTGTTTAGAGGAATCATGATTTGCTGGTAAATCGCATGATTTTTTCCCCCCCTCTGCTCACTTGCAACCCAGCGCAGTAGAAAATTAGCAGGGGAGATTCTGTGTTTTGTGGCTCAACTGTCTTGAAAAGACTTGAACTTTACACGCTAGCAATTCCTGCCTCTCACCAAGAGCCACATAGGCAATTTTCAGTGTGCAGTTCCATTTGCATAATGGGAGCAATTTGTTGCCATCCACAGCTTTTCTGTGGAAATGCAGCCGCTGAGGACTGAAGTACCTCGCGTGCAATGCTCAGAAGATTCTCCAAGGGGGATTTTTGGAGGCTTCCCCATGCCGGGCGCCGCATTTCAGCCCTGGGCATCTGCAGGACAGCGTGTGCTGCAAACCTGCCAAGGTGCCATCGCTCTGTGCGTGTTCCCCACGCGGGAAGGTGCTGTGGGCATTGCTGGGTGCTGCTTTGCCACGTCCCTGTGCTTGTTTTCCATCGGCACAGAGCTTGTCCCGCAGAAAATGCCAATCCGTCCTCGGGTACCGGTTTACGTGCGCTTGTATCGTGCCTGGCACATGGGATGTTACTGGAGCCCAGCTCATAGTAAACGCTGGAGTTGTTACAGTTGCATTAATGCCAAGATTAAAGCTAATCTCCTTTGTTTAAATCACTCTCATGAATGAGCATCTGGTTTAGGAAAACCCGGTTCCTGTCGTACAGAATATGTGGTTGTGTGGGATCTCTGTGGMAAAATGCTGGCTTTCCATGGCTGAGTCTGTAGACCTACTTATTTTAACAATAGTTGTCACATTTCTTCCAGTCTGTTAAAAAATGATTGGAGTTAAATTTAACTAATAAATTATAAAGAGTATGGAGTTATTTGGTTTTGGTTTAAAGGTCGACAAGTGTGTGTGGATTCTAAAAGGCCCTTGAGAGAAAAGGGGGCTACAACCACTCTGTTCTCCACCAGCGTCATCAAATAATAGAAATGCTTTTTTTTTCCTTTTAAATAGGTTTATTAAATGGTAGGAAATACAGAGTTTTATGGGGCAAAAGCATAGTGGACATGGTGCAGTGTCAGCAACTGGAGGTCTTCAGGCAGTGAAATAATTTGCCTGGGTACCTCGGGCTTGTGAACCTTTGGACGTCGGTGCAGGCAGCAGGGCCTGGTGGGGCTGGGACAGGTGCCCTGACACGARGAACGCTCCAGGAACGAGGAAATCCTCTTCTGTTGTCACTGGATTGCAGGGCCTTTGCGTGAGTCGCTTTGCCTTTTTCTCTCCTGTTCATCAAAGCAGGAGTCTAGAGAGAGTGATAACGCTTCGTAAGGAAGAGGTGATCTTGGAGAACTGATGGAAGTAGTTACAGAAAGTCCTAAATATTTGTTATGGAAGGGATTTGGCTACTGAAGCAAACCTGACTAGGGTGTAGTTTAAAACAAAGCCTGTTGTGTGGAAATGTGGAGCAAAATGACCTCTAGGCAGTGGGATCGAGTTTCCTTCCCAGATAACCTGGCTGGCATCTCTGGTTGTGGCTGGTGAGGGAGCAGAGTTTCCAGGCTGTGAGACTGTGGCTTTTCTGTTCATTGTCTCCTTCCAGGCTTCACCGAATATTTGTGTTCGGTATGTAATGCTCCAGGGTTGGGCTTCTGCAGGTTTTACTGCTTCCTTCTCGCAACAGATTTTCAATCCGAAAAGTGGTTAAGACCTAGAACTTCTTAATGTGATATCTTTAGAAAAGACTGACTGTCTGATGCTACCAGGTGGGTCCAGTTGGGTCAGGCTGTGACCATTGAGACGTTGACGGCGCTTGGTTCCCGCTAAGGTTGCACTTCACGTAGTGGTGACTGACATGAGAAATTTCCTCATGTGTTCTGAGGAATTAYGTAGGAATAGTGAAGTTACCTGGACACAGTTGTCATGGTCAAACTGAGAGTTTTTCTGGCTCGTAATTATTTCTTTTTGACTTCAGAGAAAGTCGGCTGTTTGGAAAGGAGGAGCTTTTATCATATGTAGAGCCGTGTTTCTCGTTACTGCAAGAAAAGGCACTGGTTGCAGTGCTGAACCCAGCAGAACCTGCTTAAAAACATGCTGCCATTACATTAAAAGAGGATGCTTGTAATGCAACATACTTAAATAAGCTGCAAGAGAGAGGTGTTCTTAACCACTGATATTTCCCATTCATTTTAAATGCTACATTCTGTTTTATCCTATTTGTAGCATGGTCCAGAGACACCATATACATGTGGGGCTGCTTCATATTAGTGGCCAGACAAATATCCAGCTAGCACCAGGTGTGCTCGGCAAAGCCAGCCTGCCCTGCAAGAAAAAAACCCTCTTTTCTGCACCTGACAGCACTTTGTGTGTATAATAATGGCCTTTTCTTTCCCATTCCCCTTTCTCCTTTGCTTGATCCCACAGGGAGGTCATAATTCTGTGATTGTCACCCAACTCTGTTGCAATGCACGCGAGTGTGATGTGATCAATTCAGCATTATGGCATCTCTTCGTGAGCATCAGCAGACGATGGGGTATGTGGGAGCAAAGCGGGGCACGCAGATCGCGCTGCGAGTGGTAGTCGGGGTTGATGCCAAACGGGCGCAGAAGCCTCTGCCTCGATCTCGGAATATATTGGCAGTAAAGGCTTTCTGCTTCCCTGCCATCAAATGTTTCTAGCACTCGCTGCTGCTGCAAAAGCTGCCTTGACACTTTATGTATAAGTGTAATATACACTGTTGTGTTTGCTCACCGTATATTACTTTTATACATGAAACTTGATGCTCATCTTTGGAGCCTTTAGGGTTATTCAAAATATAAATATATTTAAGACTTTTGGGTTATTTAGAAGGGGGATTTGGGTGTATAATTGTGCAAATTCTAGGGTAATAGTATGCCTGGGGCATAAGGGTAAAAAAAGTGTTGATATTAATACTTATAGTCCGTATCCTCGACTGTTTTTAAAATGGTGTGGGTCAAAATGTAAGTGCTTTAACACAATTTTAAGATAAATGTAAGCCTTTTTTATTTTTCTTTCTATTGCACTGACTATTTTTAAAATTTATTAGAATTAAAGTATTGAAGGTAATTTCATTTTCTTGGTTTTAATCTTCCATGCTGAGAAATATTGTGTATATATTTTATGTTTGGACCTTTTCCTTTTGTTATGCTTGGGTCATTTATGGAAGCACAGATTTAAAACCAGGAAAATGTACATTTTGGTGGGGGGGAAAGCTGTGGAGTTTGTCAGATAGTTGCAAGCAACTGATTTTAGTAATTGCCAAACGCTCAGTGTGAGTAACTGTCAGGTTGGTAGTGTTTTGTGCCCCTTCCAATCCAGTCCGTACAGAGATCACCCTGTGTAGTGTGACAGGGTAGTCAGAGTGTTGCCTAGTGATYGCCTGGCCAAGCTGGAACAGACTTAACTTGGGCTGGGAGTCTGGTCTAAGTGTCCCCAGGATGAGTGGCTTCAGCAGCAGGTCCCTTTTAGAGACAGGAAGGGAAGGCCCGTGGAGAATCCAACTGGGATTCACACAGTTCCTGCCTCTCGCCCTGGCACTTGGTCAACCAGAGTGTTCTGCAGTTTGCACAGCGTTTAGCCASCATGAATAAATTGTTAATTCTAACCAAATAAAAGGGAATGCTCCCTCAACAGCAGATTGGAGTTGGGACTTTGCTCAGAAGAGAGAAGGGGGTAAAAAAAAAAGGAAAAAGAAAAAAGAAGGTTCAGAGTAGAACTGTGTTTTATTATTATTATTAATTTTTTTTTTTTTGTGGCAAGAAATACTACAGATACTTTAAGCTTTGTTTGCAATAACCCTCAATCTCTGAAGTTATTTTACCCTGTTAATCTTAGATGTCTGAAACTCCATTACATTTCTTTGTTAACAAATTTGTGTTTACGCTGCTAGTGATAGGAGCTTGTCTTTTGTTTTCCTATTAATATATAGTCTTAAAGTTTCAGTACTGTAAATGCTTACACATGTAATAATATCTGAATAATAGCAGTTCAGTGATGGGTTTTCTTTTTAATCAGAAGTGCTTGCAGGACTGGGATGTTGGTGTAAATCCATCACAAAATATCCTTATTCCCAGTGTTGTCTGAAATACTGTGTATTGAAATCAGGGGGAAAAAAAAATCCTACAGCTGCAGGTTATCACAATTTAAAGGGGTACTTAAGAAGCTCAAAAGAATTAAAATGTCAGGGTTAACTTTAACACTAGAAAGAAAAAGTTACTAATATAGGTTTCCTCCTGTGTTCTACAGTCTGTCCAGTGAAGATGCTGTGTGAGGCTGCTTTGAGATGCTAACAGGTATCTTGAACTTTTGGTTTTCCAGTGCAGCATCTCTAAGTAATATTTTGCTGTAGGAAAAGGCTGAAATCTTGATTTTTAAGCATTTATTCACCTCCTCCCCCACCCAAAACAAAATCCTGCCAAGAGGCTTTATTTCCATAATCGCAAAGGTTTTTCCTAACCAGAAACAAGTTTAGTTTGTCTTTTATCTGTGAAAGAAAAACAAACATGATCATCTCTTCACAATTAAGTCTGCTTTCATTGTTTACATGCCCTCATATCTACTGTCATTTTTGTCATGTCTAGCAATAGGGCTTCAAATAGCATAAAATTGGKTTTTTTTGGACATATTTTAGCCATCTACTGTACCTAAATGGATGAATCTAAACACACCGAGAAAAACTGCACTCCAGGAAGTGCAGTGGGAAAAAACAAATCTGAAAYAATTCTATAATTAAAGTGTCCTTGCGGACAGATCTAAAACTGCAATGTCCTTTTATTTATTTATTTTATTAACAGGAAAGTGCCTCCTTTAAAGGGAAAACCAGTCAGATTGGCTTTAGTAGAGAAAGCAAACGGGGCGTTTGTGACATTCGTACAACGTGGCTGCTTCTGATTCCGGAAACCCTTTCTAAAAACAGAGATATCACTTATGTATGTGGAGTCATATCCAGCTTCCCCCATCCTGCAAAGAATTAAAAAACACCCTGTAACTAGATTGCAAATCTAGTATTTAAATGCATTTTTTTTYYTTTTTTTTCCCCTAAAGAAGTAAAAAAAAAAATGCTTATTTTGAGATCCAATGCCAAATTAATTTCAGATGTTCTTGAAGCGTTAATGGCATTGGTCTGTGTTGTTAACTTTTAACTGATCCATTTGCAGAGCTGTATTGCAAACCCAGGACCCCGGCAGTGGTAGTCTGTGACCCGAAAGCTGATCACAGAAACGGGATGAATTTCTCTGCCCCTCTGGACCTTGCTCTGATGTTCTGCTGTAAAGAGTTTGGGGAATTCACCCCCTGCCTCGGCGCCCGGCACCACCTCCGCACTCTGCGCCCGTCGAGCCCSTAACGTTAGTGCCACCTCCGGCCACGTTTCCCTCCCGTTCAGTCGGTTCCTGCCGGTTCCTGACTCGGAACTGGGCTCGGAACTCAGGGGCTGCCCAGAGTGCTGCAGGTGACGCCGCTTCCCTCGCCCGTGTCCCRGGAGAGCCCGGCTCCCTCGCTCCGAGTCCGGCATCGCAGCAYGTGCTGCTACCACTGAGGCTCTCGGTTCTAAGGCTAAAATTTCAGAGCTGTCTGGCAGGACTGTGAGTGAATGTTAGATTGCTAGCAGCAGATTTCTATCTAAAAATAAACCTCAGATGGTCAAAATGCACTTGAGATTTCTTAATACCATTAAACAGCTTCGTGACAACCAAAACACACTGGTCTGTCTAAAACCTCTTCTTCTCTCTAGAAAGTTGAGCGAAAGCTGTAAGCATTAAATCTGCATTTTGAATAGCTCTTCTCCTTAACCGTACCTCGAAKCCAGACCTCATCACTGCTATTGCAGTTACTCCTAGGCAAGTAACAGCCCTCACATTTCTGGAAGTTAGCAGTGCTCTAACACATTCTTGAAATGCAAAGAACAATTTGCACAATACAGCACTAAAGGCGATGTAATAGAGCTCATCCTACCTAATAGCCTATTTAAGTCTCTGACAACTTAAAATAGTAGATGGCTTTATTTTGAATGTGAAGTTTAACTTCTGCATTATAATTCTACAGGGAGAAGAAGTGGGTGACAGTTGGCGACACATCCCTAAGGATTTACAAATGGGTGCCAGTAACGGAGCCTAAAGTYGACGATGTAAGTATCCTGCAATGTCCTCCTTTTTCAGGATGCGGAGAATCATTTTTGGGGAAGATTGAAAGAAAAATGTTCTTCTGTAGCCTTTAAGTTAAGACTGGTATCAGTCTTGTGAGCATTTGAATGTAGGAGCTCTAGGGGAAGTGCTGGTGTTCACAGAAAGTGATGTTGATGGTTCAGTAGGTGGCAGCCTTCCCCGAGTAGCGTTGGATCAATTCTTAGAGAATTATTAAACGCTGGGCTTGAAACACAGAATTTTTGTACTTTGTTTGCAACTGACTTTGAAACTATTTCCCAGTATAATAATGGAAATACATGTGTGTGTTTGTGTTTGTATTTATGTAAATAATACACACACGTGTRTGTGTGTATATATATATACACACATACATATATACACAAACATATACACAGTTCCTTTTTTTCCCCTGTCTGATGAGTTAGAGGAAGGTATTTGCTATGAAACTGTTCAGAGAATGCGTTCTTGTATCTGTGCATCATGAAGCACCGCTGGTATTTTGCCCAGAGACACAAAACACTGAAGTAAGGCCAGGAAAACCCTATGGAACTGGGAGATYAGCTGTATTGAACATCTTCATTTGGACATCTGTGTAAGATGTCCAGTTGAAGCAGTACAGCAAATGCTTCTATTGTAATGCCCATTTTCTCATGCTCAGTGCTTTATGTATGTATCGTATTTGCATTCATAGTGTACACTGGGGAAGTACTGTTTATTTCCCATGATACAGTCACTTGGCACAAGAGCAGCCTACCTAAAAATCAAAGTTGACAGCACCTGTGCATTGTTTTTAGCTTAAGGTATCGATGGAATAACTGTAAAATGGAAATGTTGTTATGGTGAGAATATTASTTAGTGGTTCCACAGTAAATTGTTGACATAGTGGGGTATATACTAGTTTGATACTCTCTTCTTGGACTATCCTGTGTTTTCACTTTATTTGAAATGTGAAGGAAGCCCTATTTGAAAGAACATTGCTCTGTTAGTAAWTCTGTAAAATAACAGTTTTTGGAAGAGTCGGTGTCATGGACTTGCCTTATTCAGAATATTCAGGGCCTACTTTTGAATGGGGTTATTTTAAACAGAGTTTATTTTTTTTTGTGCCTTTGGTTGTGCCAAACCTTTTCTTGACTCTGGAAGTTGTGGTGAGCCACTTGGGTGCTTTCAAAACTTGAACAGTGATGCCTATGAAATGATCACTTGTGGATTGGGAAACCTTTCCTGGTTTCTCAGAAAAATGTTCATTCTGTCTAGTACTCAAATATTTGGTCTTGATTTTTTTTTGATGCACAGGGGGAAAAGGATGTGCTATTTGTGTGATTTTAGGATATTTATGCCTGTGGGTTGCTATGTCAAGGGTTTCTGAAGATTATTTTCCTACAGTTGTGCAATGCTCGCGTGATGGATGCTGTGGAAGTTTGACACACGCTCCTAGTGAGGTTCTTGGATTAATTTTCAGTGTGACGTCTGCTGATGCTAAAGTCAGATTCTCTCTTAAGAAGCAGGAGTTTATTTAAAGGCCTGTGTGTGCAGCGTTTAATTGCGGTATTTCAGCCATCATTTTTAGGCTTAGGCCCCAGATTTGCTGAATTTAGGACATTCCTTCAAAGGCACTCACTTGAACATCCTGCAGTCACGTTGTGCATGTCACAAGCAGAGGCTGTTCTGCTGCCAGCACTGCAGACTTGATGTTGTAGGTTTGGCGTCAGACCCTCCAAGTTCTCATCAAAACAAATCTGAATATATTTAACAAATAAATATTGGGTAGGTGTTATCTTAGCAGTTTGTTTTTTGGCATGCTTTTATATCTGATTTAATTTACATATGCAGGAGAAGATGGAGAATAATTGCTTTTTACTAGAATAGGGGAATGGTGTCTTTTTTACTGCTCAGTGGTTCAAATGGAAGTTGTCTTTCATTTCAGAGAATGTGGTTTAGATTCTGCTTCCCTCTTGCATATCCCTAAACCATTTTAACCCTTAAAAGATAAACAAACAAACACAAAACTAGATKTAGTTAGGTGGGCTCTTGCCTCCTACTACTTTTGGAAGGTTGTTAGGGAACCTCATGGCTTTGATAGCTCAACTTTTTTTAAACCTCAGCTGAAGTTGCTTGCAGTCATTCTGTCAATATTTCTTTGGGGTCCCTTGTGCCTTTCGATCTAGAGGGGGAAAGTTGCTCACTAAAAGAGATGACATTCTCTTTGAATTCTAGTTTTGCAATTTTAACTCCATATGTTTTCACCTCAGTTCCATATATGGAATAAAATCTGAATTATTCCATTTCTTCTCCAAGAAGTAAAAATGCAATAAAAAGCCAAATATATTAAAAATAGATGGAAAAATCCTTCCAGATCTCACTTGTTGGATTTCTTCTGCAGTCTTTGACTACGTTTGACTGTGGTTTTATTTTCTTCCCTGGTTGGAGGGCACTGTGTCACCCAAATGGGTGGGTTGCTGACCATTGCCCCCAGAGTCAGGCTTTGAATCGTCTCCTCGGCAGGATTCTCCGAGAGCGGCGCGGTGGCCTCGTGCTCCTGGGAGACCCGTTCCGTCAGCTCTTAATTGGAACTGCTGCAGAGTTCCCACGTGATGGGTGCTACCATCTCTGCCTTTGTCTCAGTGCTTGGAGTGTGTGCTGTTGTCTTGGTCATGAGCGTGCTATGACCTATTGTTCATGTGGGATTTCTTTATTTAATCTTATTACTTTATGMTCTTTGTTTTATGCCAGTCTGTTTCCTCTTCATTGATCTTTTAGTGTTAGTGAATAARCAGCGTTAGGTGTAGGGAAGAGGTCTCTGCAGTCTTGGTCGTTGAGAAAGAGGTCAGTAGTTGTCATCTTAGTGTTAAAAATCCCAAATCTCTGTCCTTATTGCTGTTGTGGATTCATGCATATTTCTAGGTGCTTTCTACAACCTTCCTGGTGAGGAAAAGAGAATATACCAAGTTTTGAAGCTGGGAATTAATATACATACCATACAGCAGCAGGAGTGTGAGCTCAGAATGCAGATAGTTTCCTGAGTCTTTGATCAGGGATGTTCTTCCCTTTAGATGTTGTAGCAGGGCTGCCTTTGGCCTTGCGTTGGTAGCTCTTTGGGTTGGTCAGTGGCCCACGTGCACCTCCCAAAAGCTCCTCCTGGATTTTGCCAGGGCGCTCAATCCTTGCTCCTTGGGTTCCACACTTGCAGAATCAGGCGTAGCTCTGAGGACTTTGTCGTTTTACAGAGATCGTGCAGGGATTTGAAGATGAAAACCGTGCTCAAGTGCTAACCATTGCTGGAGTTTCTAGATAAAGAGTTCAATATTCTAGTGCTTTGTGACTAGAATGTGACTAGAATTGTGAATGCAATTACAAAAATGTCCTGTGATCATTGGGACTGATGCGTTCTTGATAATTGCAGCGGTTCTCGGGCTTATTTCTCACTTGAAAGTCAAGTGAGATGCTTACCAAGTAATGAGTGGGAAGAGTTTTATATTGAAGCATGATATTTTTCTTTCTGGTAATCATCTGTTTGGGTACATGTCTTTTTCTCAGAAAAATAAGAATAAGAAAAAAGGCAAAGATGAAAAATGTGGCTCGGAAGTTACCACTCCAGAAAACAGCTCTTCTCCAGGGATGATGGACATGCATGGTGAGTGGGAGAAGGTCAGCCCCAAACACCCTGTTACACTGCTGTGAAAATAAAAGCTAATCATGTCAGATTCTGCATTAATCACATATATGGACAGGACCATGTTTGGGCCAAAGTGGGAATAATACCAGATATTCAGTTGGCTTTCTGTTTTGTAGATGTCTTACCAGTTGTTAAATGCTGTGGTTCTGTGGCCTCTTCCTCCTGCTGGGAGGTTTTCAGCTTTGCTGGAATGATCAGTTAAAACACCACCACCACCAACAACAAAAATACAAAACAAAAAAAACAAGGAAGAAAAAGCATTTTTTGCTTGCCAAAGCCAGACACTGTTAGATCCGTTAAGAATACAGTGTGAGCTGGTGCATGTTAACATGGTATTTATTACAGAGGAGCCTTCACAGCTCAGCTTTTAATTTTTTTTAAAATTCTACGTGTTTGGGTAGCGAGTAGACTGAGAATGTGGCAATAGTTGAGCTGATTATACGGGGTCACTTCTAGGTGGGATGTAAATTTTTTGTTGCAGCGTTGTTTGCAGTTTATTGCCTCGCTGGCTTTTGCAGTGTTTATAGCAAGGATGGCCTTGTGATTAAAGGATTGAGCAGGATATTCACAGATCTGGATTAATTTTTGATCTGTGTTGCAGACTTCTTAACTTTTGCCTTGGTCAGATCATTTAACTTTCTTACGTCTTGTTTCCCCATATGTGAAGTGAATATAATACTTTTTTTTATATAGCTTATCGATAGTATTTTTAAGTCATCCTGTAAAATTTCACGATAAGCTTTTTCTAATCTGACTTCAGACTGCTCTGGAAAGAGAAGGTCCCATCAGCAGCTTATATGTTCCTGTAGTCCTCTGGATGTAACGATTGTACAGGTGCAAAGTGAGGTAGATCAGCTTGCATACCTAGCATACAATTTAACTCATAATATTGTGTCTTAAAAACACCTGCATTATAGTACAGGCTGAAAGGGCAGAAATCATTGCAGTAGTGGTGTAGAAAAGAATTAAACACAGTAATGTTCTAATTGCTTCTGGATTTGCTTAGCTGTCCAGCAAGCGAGACTATGGCCTGTGTTAACTGGACATAGTAGATGAAAAATAAAATATGAAAGAACTAAGGTATTATTTGTATTCAGATCTTACAAAGCTAGAATGACTTCTTTTTAATTCTTTTCCTAACAGATGACAACAGCAACCAGAGCTCAATAGCTGATGCTTCTCCGATAAAACAAGAAAACAGTAGTAATTCAAGTCCAGCCCCAGAGCAGAATTTGACAACACAAGCGGATGGCACTGAGGTGAAGTCTGACGAACCTCAGTCGGAAGCAAAGGAGCAGCCTGGTTCAGAAGGTGAGCTGGAAAGACCGTCCTCAAAGCTGAGCAAAGAAGTTACCCTTTAGTTCTGATGTATTTTATCTAGCTCTCCCTTTCAAAGACTGAATAATAATGGTGTGAAAGTAACGGCTTTTGGATCTCAGCATTTTGAGATGTTGTTTGAAATGTGCCAAGCCTCTCTTGCTTCCCAGTCATCGTTCCGTAGAGCAAGAGAGGTCAGATTTACATTCGAGGTCTTTCTAGGGATTTTTTTTTTCCTAGAGATTTTGTAGCTATTATATTCTCAGTCGTTTATAAAAATAATTTAATAACTGCTGTAACTATTCAATCACACAAATCCTGGCAAGTGTTATTTTAGGAGATTAGAGAGTGTTCATTACCTAGCATGAAAGTAAAAATGGAGGTGAGATTTTTATTGTGTAAACTACAATTTAATTTACTCTTCTTAGTCCCCGCAGTTACTTACTCAAAAGCTAGTTCTGAATTAGGTCCTAATATTCTAAAGGTGTTAGAATATTTTACTGCAGTTCTTCACAGATTAAAAATATATGGGGGTTAAGAAATTGTTCTAAACCGTGTTCTGTGAGCGGTATTTTGGGTAATTGGAACACGCTCAGTATTTATATGCTTCAGAAGATAAGTTTCTTCATCCTATTATAGCAGATAAAAGATGTCCTTAACACCACTCTAATAATTTGATTGCAGAATTCTTCCCATAGCAAAGCAATTAAATTATGTCCTACTGATTCCATTCTTGGCTTAGCAGATCCACTAACGAATTTAAGTTTAGACCTTTTATCATGGTTATGTGAGGTCATTGTTAATTGGGGTTAAAATTTGACAACCAATTATCAAATTGAAATATATCAGAAAGCCCTAGCCTTAAAAGGAAGTCTCAGCTGACCTTTTCAGTGGTGCTGAAGGGTCTAAGGGTTTCCTCCTAGGTTTAATATTGTCTGAACCTGTTTGTGTAAGATTATTATATAGCACACATGCTCCCATAACTAAATTTAGATTCAGGGAGAGTCATACCAGGTTCTCTGGATTAGTTCCAGAGCTATTTACTGTAAAATGAAGAAATATTGATTTAAAAAAAAAAAGCCTACTCATTTATTAATGTGGCTGTATGCTGTGTTTTTACATTTATTAGAAAGTTTCTCGTTTTCCAGAAGTGAAGTTCGCTGAAACCCTTTGAATTGTGACGTTATTCAGCTGGACAGGGTTAATGACCTTGTGCATCTTTCGTTACTGCGCGGGTGTCAGGAAGGTCCCTCATGTCTCCACTATGGTGAGGGGGAAGAATGAGATCCAGTCTTTATATTGTTGTTGGTGTAGAACTGCTTTTCTGTACCAGACTTTTGGGATGAATCTGTATCAACATACTGTGCTCAACTCCTAATGGAATTTAACCAGTAAAGACTGCTTAAATCCCCCTGTTCTCCCTCCAAGTGGATTGAGTGCTTACACTGTGAGTCCTGCAGGGTAGGTCATGTTTTTAGGAGGAGAGAAGGAAAAGATTAAAAAAAAAAATATACAGGTTAGGGTTGAACTGGCAGCAGGTATGAGCTATTGCAAGCTGGAAAACCCTGCTTGCATGCACCAGACATATTCCCTTGATGGTTAAGCTAGCCAGTTGAATTAGTGAATGCCAAGCTAGAAGTTGTGACAGGAAAGAAGGTGGATTTTAAATATATGACTGAATTTCAGCTGGGATAATTTGATTCCCTTTCCTCAACCAYACAATTTTAGGTCCGTTTGTTGTCACAATTCAGTGATTTCTGTAGCAGCCTCTTACTTGTGGTTGGGAGGAAGTTTCAGCCCTTTTACGAAGTTTGTGTTGCAGCTTGTTTGCAAATAGCTCTGGAATAGTTTGTGATCCAGGGCACGTGTGAGCTGAGCTCCCTCTAGGGACCCATCCCAGCAATTGTGTCCGGCCGTAGCGGGAAGGCCAAGGTCTCTGCTCCAGTGGCAGCAGCCTGTGGTTTTGGCTCAGGAGTTTGAGCTTGGTTCCAATTTACAGTGTTGTTATGAATGTGAATTATCATCTAACTCTGAAAATTTTATTTTGGGAATGTTGCTAGTGAGAAAACAACCTAAAAACTCCCGCTGAGCTCTTCCATTTGTTTAAAATGATTTCTTGCGATTTCAGATACCTCTGACGAACAGAATTCACAGTCTTCAATGGAAAATTCTATGAACAGTTCAGAGAAAGCAGAAATTCAGTCCTCTGGAGAAAATGATGTAATTACAGAGGCATCTAAAAACTCTCAGGTAACTTTTGAGTGCAAATTATTGGAATTGCAGTGCAATTGGAGTGCAATTATTTGGAATTTGGAAGAGAACATTTTTCTTAAAGGCAAATTTAAGGAGGCCATTCAGGCTCGTTTCCTAAGATGACAGTAATAAAGCAGTGGTAGAGTATTAAATGGACGTTGTAAACTATTAAATGTATATGTATGTGTCTGTTCTTATGATTCATTTTGTTGGCTTCTTGCATTTCTTGCARCTTTAACAGGAACACTAAAACAGACTAGTTTACTTTTTAGGTTGCTTAATACTAGGCTGTATTAGTTTTCTAAGTAAATGCAAACATTTAATATTACGAATGAATTCCTTGGACCTAAGCTACTGGAAAGGCCTTTAGAGACTCGTTCAGATGTAAAATACTTTCTATAAAAGTAAATATGTATAGCAGTTGAAAAGCAGGTGTTAATTCAGTGGACATTTACGCTTCCTGGAATACTCAAAAAGTGGAGGGAGGAGATTTTCCTTGTAATTGCTCCCTTCACAGTGGGATCTGCAAATAAGCACTGCTCAGTCCGTGGGTTTTCCTTCTGGATGGCTGGCTTGTTCCAGTGCACCCCTTGCTCTTTCCAAACCCTGCATGTTCTGTCCTGTAGAGGTTACTGTGGCTACAGCTGGAGCAAATTCACATGCACTTGTGTGCTTGAATGTGGAGCTAAAGGAAACCCAGTTCATCGGGCTGGTGCATGAGGAGTATTCACTAGAATTTAGCTCTTTTTCAGCAGATGACAAGAAGTGTAAAGAAGCTGAGGTAGGATGGAAGTAGAAGAGTGATTCCAGGAAGCAAATTGACTTGTCCTGTCATTCTCATATCCAGGGATTATTTGTATTTTCTCAATAACACACGGGGGAATTTGCTCTTGCTTCTTGTTTGATGTTTATGGCACGTGTGGTTCAGTGCACTGATAACATGAATGTTTTTCTTTCCCCCCCTGTTAAGGACTCTGAAGGAGTGCCACCTTCTAAAAAGATGAAAGTAGAGGCTTCCCAACAAAATGTTGAAGAGATTTAGACTATAGATTTTTTTTCTGGTCAGTTTTTATGTAAGGTACATCGGTGGGCTTAATTATAGAACAACCTTACTTAAGCATCTTCTCTTGGATGAGGACAGAACTCCTAACTTTTCAAGTTTACCAAGCGAAAATCCAAGAAAGCCTGACAAAGGTTTAACTTCTCAGACACTGAAAACTTTTTCCTGTGAAACAAACGTTGAGAACTTTTAAGTTACTGTCTCTGAAATGGTTGGAGTAAACAACTCAGGAGGGGTCTACGCACTGTTTCTAAAGTCAAAATTACAATTATGTTGCTGCTGTATTTTTTTTTTTTTTCATTTCTCTATTTAACAATGTAAGATATTTAAGGATGGTACAGGTCAGTTATTAGCTTTCATGTGAAGTTCATTGTTCTGGCGTGATGTCTGCTTTTGTTTTGTGCCTTGTGTTCTGAAAACAGTGCTAACTTTTAAAAGTTGTTTTGCAAAAGTCTCCTTTGCAAAGTGGCCTATGTTTGTATAATGCCATGTAGTAAGGTTTTTGGTTGTTTGTTTAGGTTTTATTTTTGTTTGTTTTGGTTTGGAGGGTTTTTTTGTTTGTTTTTGGGTTTTTTTTTTTCTTTTTTATTTTAAATCCCTGGTGCTTAAATTTTAATAAATACAGATCAGGAAGCCATTTTCACTCTTGGAGTCCAAGGAGAAAAAGGAGCTTGATATTTTATTTTAGCAGCTATAGTGGAGATCTTTATTGAATGCATGGCATTCGCAACTGTAAATTTGGTCTTCTAAATACTTAACTTCATCAGAAGTTAACATCTGTTTACCATTTATAGTCCAGATCTGCGTATTTCCTATAATACAACAGTTAAAATACTTACGTATTAGGTCCAGATCTCTGTACTGGGTACAACTTTCTTTACAGAAGAGTTCCACTATGTACATAAATAGGATCAAAGGGATTGATGCACAGTGAATTTATTTTGAATTGGTCTCTTTTGATATCAGGTTTTCACTGAACTGGATTTTATTGTACTGTCTCATCAGAAGATGTTTACTTCTATGTCTGAGGTCAATACTGTATTTGGGATTCTCCTTTCATTTCAGCAAGTCTTGTAAATAAGCCTTGTTGTTTCCGTCGTTTCTACATCGTGGGTAGAAATGTTTTTCAATTATGTTGAAGTCTGCTTAGGCTGAACTGCTTGGGAGGTGCTGAGGATGTGCAGCTCCCTTCGGATTGTGGCATTTGGAGTGCCAGGATCAGGGCCCAAGGGCTTGATCTTGCAGGGGACTTTGCACTTGCAGGKTGGGCACCCAGTTAGAAGTAGCTGGGGTCAGTGGGAGACGCTCATTCCCACTTGGGAACGTGCGACGTGTCCGCGCGTGCGGCTGCATTGGGCCCTTCATCCCTCTTCACTTTGGGAGATGGAACTTGTAATTTAAATTATGATCTCACGGCTAGGAAAATGGTTGCGTATAGTTTGTAAGCTAAGAACTGTAAATACTTTTTTAAATGAGGAAAAAAAAAAATTGCTTCCAGTTGATACATTTTCATAATTAGCTCTTCATTAAGCTTATTTATTTCTGAATTCTCCAATAGTGAAAATGGCTTGCACTTAGACTACTGCATTGCRTTTGCAATTACCGTTTTATTATGAAAAACAACGGGGAAGTCAGGGGACGGGGATGGCGGGAGGGAGGACCGGGGAGCCAATACTGACCTTCCATAAAGTGTTTGTAGGATTAAACTCCAGATAATATACAACACTCAGTTTCGGGACTTCTTTATGTTGAAATAAACTCTTTGGATTTCAACTAAATAAAATTGGATTGCAAATCATTCACGAAAACAGTGTGCTCCCTAATAAGTTTTTGGGATTTCTGGTCTGATCATGAAGTCCATTAACGTTCTGAAAATAAGGAAATGAGGAGCCAGAAAATATTTGCACAAAATATGCAATGAAATGGTGGAATTCGCTCTTGAACTGTGTGTATGCCTAAAATGTGGATAACTGGTCAGTGACAATTGATTTGTATGTATATTACATTCAGATTTAAGTGATATTTTGTGAGAAATTCTATTGCTATATTAAATGGGCAAATTTAGAAAGATTCAAACTTACAAATATTTTTGTTTTACTAGCTTTTTCTTATTTTTAAGGATAAAGTTAATCTGATGCCACCTTTGAAAAGTAGTCATGTTTACTAATCACTCTCTTCAGGTGCATCACAGCAAGTTTTTTACTTTTATTTTGTAGGTGTTTCCAAGGGAGTAAATAGACTTTTGGTTTAGGAACTAATTCCTGTACTTTAGGAAGAAATAAATATATAAATAGCACTAAAATACCTCAAAGTTTTTCATTAGATAGAAGCATTTATTGGCATTATTGACATTGACAGGTTTAAGCATAAATTTCCTTTTCTCTCCTGTGGCTTCTGCTCAGAACTGTTCTTTGTTCTGTGGCTTAAAAAAAAACAAGACACCATAACCATATTCCTAGAGGCTTTGTTTCTAAAGTAGTAATGCTTTATTTACAGCTTATACAAAGTACATTCAGAACTTTTTATTTTTAATCAGAGATTCTAGTGACAACAGACAACTGAACAAGCAGATAGATTTGGGTTCCTTAAACCTGTTATTGTCAGTCTCTGAGAGAAGAGGCTTTGACATTATCTGGTATGAAGAAATCCAAAATAGTGTATAAGACTGTTATTAGTCTTTTCTTGAAGTGCCTGATAACATTTATGGGCCAACGGATGTGATTAAACACATTTTAATGCCAGAAAGTACAGATGGGACCAAACCTGAACATCGGATTCAAACCCATGTAAGGTTTGAAGCCAGATCTAAATCCAGCTTTTTTTTTGGGGGGGCTTGGACCTGTCTCTACCAGAAACTTGTTTTATGAACTCACTGTAAAAGGGTTTATTGAAAGCATTGGGATGCGGAGCAGAAGGAGAGATGCAATTTTCTTCAAGGTGACTGAAAGTTCTCAAACAGCTAATGTTTTAGAAATAGTGCAAATATCAAGAAGTGCTTCCTTGCTACAATGCTGAATGTTGGAGCTTCATTTACAAAAGCAAAAGAAACTAGAAGCAAGCAAGTAAATTAGCTGAGTGGAACATGTGGGAAGGCCTTCCGAATAAGCGATTTACTCAGCCAAACATTTTATAGCAGAACTATTCCTTGGAATTTTTATGCTTGGGAAAGTAGTTATTAAACATTCCAAAAAGTGCTGGCACTTACAAAACAACAACAAAAAAATAATCAACAAGGCAGTATAAAAATATTGGTTTTGGRTGGCTATCTTCATACATAAACATGGTCATGTTTTGGAATGTTCTTTATATCTAAGGGCCTGTTAGAAGGTGTAAAGAATTTTGTTTTCTTCAATACCTAATCGTTTTCCATCTTATGATTTGTGTGTGTGTGTGTTGTACAGCAGTATAATTTTTCACTTATTTATTCCATCAGTAGTTATGGTTTGTACAATGTACAATGGTTTCATTTCAAAAATAAAATAAAAACTCACGACATGAATGCTGTGTGAATAATTTTTATCAAGCAACAATCCCAGTTTGTTTTTTGAATATAAAATAAATTTCAGTTTTTATGAATAGCCTTTTTAAATGTGCATTCTATGGTGTCTCATTGGTTATGTGTAAAATGGGTCCCATCAAAGGCCCGAGGTGTCTTGGTGTCGTTTTAGCAGGACTTTGTGCCTCTCCATCTGACGGGTAGCTGGTCCCCATGGTCAGAGGTTAAGGTAGGATTCCCTGCACTTACATGCTTTGCCAAAGCACCTGTAGATTTGGGAGGATAATAATAAACTTAGGTTTAAAAACGAGAAGCCTTCACTTGTTGGTGGGCACAGGCCACCTAAATACTGAATTTTAAAAGCCAGGAGGATCCATATAGTAAATGGGTTTATTGTAAGGACAGCATTCTTCCATGCATCTGCAGTGCTTCCATTTAGGCTGATTAGAGGAGAAAATTAGAGGACAGAAGCCTTAATTTACCCTTAGTCCCCTAAATTACATCTTTTTTTAAAATAGCTTAATGCTGCTAGCCATTTTTAAAATGATGATTTGTTACTAAATTGCCTTAAATGATTATGTTGCTGTCCAGCTGCTTTATTTTAACATTATCCCTCTTTGCAAAGGGAAGAGGCAAACGTAGCAGCAGCTGTGGCTTCTAAACAAGTTGGTAAGGTAAATATATAGGGTATTGCCAAGAGCGGTGTACACAGCACAGTTATGGATCTCGAGCTGCGATTTTGGGGGGTTTTATGGGGTGACCCCTCTCCGTCCCCAGGCTGGGCCACCCTCTGCCCTTAATACTGTGCTTTGATTTTGAGCTATAGGATCTGTTTCATCCGCTACACTTCTGAGAAGGATGGAATTCAGTCTTCGAGAGGTATGCAGACTTCTTGCAGGTGGTTTTTGGAAAAAAATGAACAATTTACTGTACACAAAATGATTTGGAAGCCGTGAAATACTTCTAGTGTTTCACGTATGCAGTTGCAGCTGTAGTGGGGAGAGAAAAGTCACTATGGAGAAACCCTTKGTGCCGAACAGAAAGGAAAGCGCCTTGGGTCGGGTGCCTTCCCGCCYGGCCTTGCTGCCCTTGGGATTAATTCCAGCTGAAGTAAAACCGGACCCATGGGTGGGCAGCAGAATCCTACAAATATGTATTAAACAGCAKTTCACTGGCGTTTTCTAGGCAATGAAGGGCTCTCTTGTATTCCCAAGATTCCCAGGAAATAAGGGACGCTTCCCAAGTGTTGCTAGGATGCTTCTGAGTTCTTGACGTGGGGAAGGGCTAGGGAAGATCTGTTTTTTTGGGGGGGGAATAACACCCCAAAATCACTCCTTCCCCTGCTTTGCTGTGAGAGCTGAGCACCCAGCAGGGCCGGGCCCCTCGCGGCGCCTCGTGGAGGGCGGGCAGGCTCGGAAACGGTGTCAGTGTCCCCGTTAGCTGGAAGGAAGGAAGAAAGGAGAACAACAACAAAAAAAAGTGGGTTTTTTTTTTTTTTTT